GTGAGCGAGAGAGCGAAGGAAGAAGAGAAGAGAGCGAGAAAGGCGTCTCTTGGGCTTAAATAGCCAGGATGACAGGTCTGGGGTCCGAGGGAATCTGACCAATGAAGGGCCGGTGTTTGGGCGTTTATTGCTTTCATGCCACACCTTGGCCGCATTCTTGGCCCCCCGCTGAGGGGTCTGTTATCTGGCAGGCCCTTTTTCTTTGTCTTTAGTCACTATAAGTAGGCTTTATTGCTTACATAAGGGCCTCACTGCAGTAATGAACATTTCTTTTTTTAAGGACATGGCCAAATCCCAACACTGTAATACATAAATGTTAAGAGAGAGATTTCTTCCACATAAAACAGTGATTGTTTTTAAATTATTTTGCTGCATAAATGTTGATTTTAGACTATCCAAGATGGGGTAAAATACCATTCTGACAGCTGTCTGCTAAATATGGAACCTGGAGGCGGTTAGCTTAGCTTAGCATCAAGACTGGTAACAGCTAACCTGGCTCACTCCGTAGTTAACAAAATCTGCCTACTGTCACTCTGAAGCTCACTAATGATTAACATCTTGTTTTTGTCTTTTAAAAGAACTGGGCTAGTGCTATTAGCTATTTTTCTGGAGTTTTCTGTCATGTGTCTTGGCTGGCACCAGTTGCCGGGAAACCAGCGATTCCAGGAAGTAACTAACACAAGATATAACATTCTAATTAGTCAGCTGTAATGGAGCTGATTGGCGAATTTTGTTACCTTTGGACAGAGCCAAGCTAACTTTTTACCCATTTTTGGTCTTTGTGCTAAACTAAGGCTGCTGGCTCTTACTACATATTTACTATAAAAACATGGTAGTATAAATCTTCTCATCTACCTCTCTGCAAGAAGGTGAAAAATAAATCATATACATAATAATACATAAGTATATATCAATACCTTTAAATCTGACATTAGTATTGTTTTTTTTAAGGCTGACAGATGCGTACGGCTTTATGCACTCATTCTCAACTGACAGTTGAAAGCGTACTCAGTGAAACTAATAAATCACAAAGCAGTTGCACACATCCATGAACAAATTCTGCCAGAATAATGGCCATCATCTGGAAATCTTGCACACAGCTTTAACAAAATGCCCCGCCACCCCCGCCCCACCTACTCTTTGCTCGGGCTCACCCAAAAAAGTGGAAATGATGAATTTAGATTCTCTCTCCATGTATGCAAGAGCTTTGAAGACTATGCTGCAATGAAGCAGTATGCATAATGCATGAACTTTCTTTTGAACGCCATGCTGCGCCAAACGTAGTAATATTTTGTCTTCCCTCTCTCTGCCTTTTCCTCTCTCACCCCTCCCTGCCTCCCTGGCTTACTGTACTTATTTATTTGAGACAGTTTGTTACAGCCACATCCATTGTGCCTTCATTTAATTCATTATTTCTTTTGTGCTTTACAGGGCTGCTGAATTGCAGCCTCTGGGAGGAGGAAAGGGAGAAAGGGACAGTATAGTTTTGGAGAGAAAGACAAAGTTGTAGCCAGGAAATGCCCTGTCAAGATGAGACTAGCTCTTAATGTATGCCTTGTGAAACGGTGAAACAATACGCTTTGGTTTTGTGTTTGTGTGTCGCTTTGTTCTTGTACACAGTATCAAAAGAAAGAACAAGAGGCAGACACACATTGTGCCTGTAGGTGTTTTCACATTTTATATTGTGTTTCAGCTGTGTCTTTTTTTTGGTCTCTGTGTGCTCCTTCTACCTTTAGTTATAATTTTAAGGATGAACATCTGCTTTCCCGGAGCACCACCTAATCAGTTTGTGTTTACACATACTGTATGTGTGCTAGCTCACAGATCACACAGCGTGCTCCCTATCGTTTGCTAAATTCCAACAACAAGAAGGTAGATGAACTTAGATCATCCGCGCTCCCTCAGCGGGCCATGTGGAGCCCCGCAACACAACGGCGCACAGCATGAAAATGGAGTGCAGGATGTTTGTTAATTATCCATGCTTGCATCAGGGCGTTACACACTGTCTTCAAAACCTCTCACGCCGCTGGCACTGCTGATTCAAGGTAGCGAGTCAACATATTGTGCTTATGCTGGCTAAATACTTAAAGCTTCTTTTTTTCCTTTTTATAAGATTTTTTTTGCATTTTATGCTTTAATAGAGTGACAGCTGAAAAGATGGACAGGAAAGTGGGGTAAAGAGAGAGGGAATGACATGCAGCAAAAGGCCTGAGCTGGCCTGCCGCAGCACTAAGGACTCAGTCTTAATATATGCGGTGCCCGTTTTACATGCCACCAATTTATATCTTGTTTGTGTGCTTTTTCTTCAACAGAATGTCTCCCGCATCAACAACATAGTGAAGCAGGTGCTGCTGATATTCCCACATTTCTGTCTGGGCAGAGGGCTAATTGACATGGCCAAGAACCAGGCAATGGCCACCCTCTTCAGTAACTTTGGTAAGAGGCCACCACTACTATCAACATAACTAATCTTTCAGTAAAAATCCTCATTCTAGTGATCCATTTTGTGAAGTTTAATATTAAGTTCTAAGATTATTTCCTTCTCAAACAAAAGAAAATATCTGCCGAGTGGGTGAGATAAAAACATTTTTAGTAATACAATACAAATGAACATGTTGCACCTTTCTAGACTCAAGCGACTATATTTTGATCACACAGCAGCAATCTGCCACGTTTTAAGATATTATGTGATGCTGACACATTTTCGCAGGAAGTCTCACTCTATTGACAGTAATTTGATTCTAAAGTAGAGCTTTCAACATGATTTTAACAGAATGTGAATGCGAAGGTCTGCACTTAAACGTAACCTGTAACAAACAACGCTTTTGTTTATATTCTGTGTTATTCACTAACAGAACACATTGGGGGATATTTCTTAAGCCTGGCACACATTGCCATGAGGGAATATGCATCAATATTCCTTCATCGGGTAGTCTCTTATCATGTGTCTGACAGAAAACGTGCAGCAGGTTTTACACATGCTTTTACCAAATGTTAATCAGAGGCAATTTCCTCTATCTAAGTGGCCAGTCTACGATAATAAATCAGGTCCAGCAGCTATTTGTAGAAATGTTTCTTATCCACCTCATATATAAACAGAAATGCATTCAAATGCATATTACATGAGTCTCAAAATCAAATTGATTAAATACATGTTTACTAGCTAGCAAACTTTCTCGCTATTGCTGCGTTTGTTGACTCATTACTGCAACCCGTAGATCAGTAAAATAGTGTGAAAACATTGGCAGGAATGTGTATCGCAAGACACGATATGTGTGCTTGTGCGTATGCCTCTTACCCGTGTATTAGACCCTGAAATAACACTATGCCTTCTCTTTAAAGTGACACTACACTATTTTATTCAAAACGCTAGTTCTTTATCCCAGCAGGAAAAAATGTTTGACCTGTAACACTGCTCTCAAACCTCCTCTAGAGCTCTAGGGAAAGGGAGAAGAGGGGTACGGTGTTGAAGAGGTGGAGCCGGGGGTTGAGGGGGCCATCAAGAGGCAAAGAGGCACATGAAAGAGGAAGAGCAGTCTTATCTGTGGAGAGATGGAGCAGGAAATAGTGGTTTGAGTAATCATTTGCGGCGGTGGCGGAGAGCAGGAAGAGAAAAGCAATCACTACCTAAAAGGGCTAGTGTGGAGAGGGGCTATTTACCAGAGAATGAGACTGAAAGCGCTTTCGTTTTTCTTGTCTCCTTACTCTGCCCCCTCGGGCTCAAGGGTTGTAGACGATGAGAGAGGGAGGAAAGAGAGAGATGGAGAATTGACAGTGATTAGAGTGAGGGGGCCTGTCAGCGGTTCACTTACGTGTTCATTAGGCAAAAGATGCTCCAACATGAAAAGTACAGGATATCAGTGATTTTCTCACATGGCATAGGTGACAGCAATTTTTATTTTTAAGGCTAAGTGGCGTACTAAACAGCTGGCTTTCACCAATGAATGTGTCTCAAAAATACTTCAAAGAGCTGACAAATTCCAGCTCTCCACTAACTTTTGACAAAGACATATTTGGCTGTCCATAAAAGAAAACATGCATCTGGTGATTTCTTTTTTTGTCTTGACGATGCTGAATCATCCCCTGAGCTTGTAGAATTAGTAGAAATTATTATAAAGTAACATACAGTAATAATGCATTTAATTGCTTACTCTTTTCTGTGTATATTGACTGTGTTTATTACCGTATTTGTCACTTTCCCTTCCTACCTTCTTTATCAGGGGAAGACCGCTTCAAGGACCCACTGAGCTGGGAAATGGTGGGAAAGAACCTTTGCGCCATGTCAATCCAGGGACTTGTCATGTTTGCCATCACACTCCTCATCCAGTACAAGTTTTTCTGCAAACCAAGGTAAAGACAACTGTAATTTCAGAGCGAATTTACTTAAAATTGACTGGAAAAAGTTCTTTCACTTACACGCCTTTGTCATGTTTCTTCTCGTCCATCTTTTCAATAAAGTTGTGTATTCACATCCAAAATTTGTTCAGATAATTTAAATTGGTAATGTATTTCATATTCATTTTATATAAAACATCTGTTGCACCGCGGATGTGTTTGGTAAATACTACCCAAAATTCTGTTTTTGCCCAAGTGTTTACTTACTCCAAAAGCAAGGTTGCCATGGAAACTAATGCCTTTGGCTTCTCCTATTTATGGAAATTGCAGAGATTGTTTCACTGAGCTTAAACTTTGACCGAGATAATTTGTCATGCAAGTTCATGTTAATTTTAATGAAGGGTGTTGTCAACTGTCAACTGTGGTTGACTTCTCTCTGCCAGGCTTATTTCAGCGAAGTCATTATCTGCAGAAGAAGAGGATATCGATGTTGCTCGGGAACGTAAGCGGGTGTATGAAGGGAGGGCCCAGAATGACCTTCTGAGGATCTGTGACCTTACCAAGGTATTGTGTAGTACATTCTTCAGCTCTTGCCAAAGTATTGCTCTGATGTAGTGCGTGATACGCTTTTTCCTACTCTGGCATTCAGTCATTTCTTTTTCTGCTTGTTGTGGTGTAAGATTATTTTTAATAGTTTGTGGAAAAAAAGTCCAATAGAGAGGGAAAGCTTCTTCCCTCATTGGGATGTTCAACTCTGTCTTCTGACCTCTGTGTGTGTATCCTTGGCCTTGTCTTAAATCCTTTGCTCTCCTTTACACATTTGCACTTGAGTGTGTACAAGATTGTGTGTTCATTTAATATTTTTATATACAAAACAGATACCCACCTGGCCAATATACACTTTTGCATTTTCATTTTATCTTTCTATTCTATCATTAGAATTATATTTATCTTGTTTTTAATAATTTCTTTATTACATGCAAGCCTTTTTAGCGGCGTACGAGACAAACTTCTCCGGTCTGGTTTAATTTTCCTCTTTTCTGATATTAGTAAGAAGCTTAACTATTAATATCTTAAGACAATGAACAGCAGTAACCCACTCTATGTGTGCGGGTGGAAAGACTTTTCAAACTTTTTTTCGTGCACTTGCATTATTCAGCTTGCAAGGCAAGTGGGAAAGACAGGTTGCTAGCCTGCAGCTGTGAACATTCACAAACATCATAAGTAGGCACGAGAACCAAACAAGATTGCATTTTTAAGGGTGTAAAGGTATGCGCTCCTATACAGCTCCGACCCTTCCCTCCATGCAGTAGGTGAAGTCGAGCGTGCTGTGACGGTGCGTGCCTCAACACCACCGAGATTAACACTTCATCCATCGGCAGATGTTCCTTCCCTGCGGGCGGCGCGGCAGCAGGAAGTGTCACCACAGCAGCCTGCTTTGCTGCTCCAGTGCCGACAGCTGGACGATCTAACAGCCTTTCGTTTCTTACCCAGCCTTCCTCGCTCCTTTACTCCCTCGGTCTTCTCAGTCTCACTATACTTAATCTTTCACTCATTGCTCACGGACACAGACGTGTGCCACACTCCCTGGGGTAATTACCGAACAAGCACTGGGTAAAACAGTTGGATGGGTAATGTATTGCAAATCATCTCGCAAGGTGAAAAGACATGGAGAGGTGTGTTCTTTTTTTTCAGCTAAAACTTAGGGATTACTTTTTTAAATGCACTAAAAACTTCAGTTTTTATTGTAAATACACCTTTAAAACAGCCCCAAACGTTTGCACAATTAAGCTTGATTAAGCTTGTTTGCTGTTGACAGGCAGTCATTGTTCATACGCGCCTTCGCGGTTGACAATATTTCTCTGAGATGAGACACAGTGGCCCATCACCGCACAAAAACAGCAGTGCAATGGCAGAAGGCATCAGGATTCTTCCTGCAGTGCCCTCATTGACTCCCACCCCAGCTGTGGCCCATCCATTTGGGGTGTAGATAACAAATTGATCAATGAGCGCGTGGCTTCAGTGGCCATACACCACAGGCTGAGCCCTGTCATAAATCTAAGCATGCCTCTGAAGCGATCGACAGGCCATCAATCATGTGTCAAATTCCTGCTCCTCCTCTTCCTTTTCCTGCTGCTCTAAACAGGAGCATTTCGCTATGTGCCCCACCTGCTAGCCCTCCACTTAGCTGCTGCATTAGCGTCGGCATCGTAATCGATGGAGACTGTAATGGAAGTGTGTCCGTCTGTGAGCGTTTTTTTTCCAGGCCCAGTGCTGTCAGTTTAACCTTCCAGTCACTCACTAAGTTGACAGAGAAAGTTTCGGAGAACCTTGTGACAGCTGTTTGAATTTAGCAGACTAATGAGTGATGAGTGGCACCTTGGCATGCCACAAGTATGCTCCTGTTAATATGCACTCTGGGAATACAAGTGGTTCAGATGAGACTCGTTTGACAAAACCTCTGTCTTGTATGATTACAGAATGGCTGCCTTTGTCTACCAAAACAGTATATATCTTCTGTGATTATTATCTTAATATTAATCTCTTTATATTGAAAAATGTACAGCCTGGTTATTGGTTATTTTTTCCTGCTTCTAGTAGGAGTGTGTGAAAAAAAGTTAGCAAGTAAACAGAGAAGTTAAATAGAAATAAAGAATAAAAGTTAAAAGTATAAATGGTTGAAAGGCCACTCCAAGTAGAAGTACTGGAAATAAAGAGAAATATTGACAATCTAAGTATAATAAGAATAAAATATAATGTAACAATATCTACTTTTTATACAATTACCACTATTGAATAACATTGAGTTTAACTTTAGGTACTTGAACTTGACCTAGTAGGGCTGAGGTGTACAGTTGTTGAATGAATTCAATAAATTAGTGATATATTGGCGAGTGCTTTTTTAATAAAGCAGTGTCTGTGCTTGAGCTGTAGCAGTCGGCGTTTGAAGCTTGTGATTTTCCAACCTAAATCTATATTTTAGTTTTGCTGCCACCATCACATTCTCTCAACTGTCTCATCTGATTAGACGTCGGCCTGCTTATCGTGACAGCTGCCGTGGTGCTCGAGTCAGAGGGGAATTAGCCTTTAATTGCCTTCCTCCTTACATGTATCTGCTGCTTTGATGTAGCTTTAGCACTGCAAACTATCACTAAAAAGTAGTGTGTGTTATCCAGGTTGATACGTGCTGAGTTCAGCTGCCAGATGGCACTGAAGGAATGGTGGATATGTGCAAGTCCTGCTTTTATCAAATGCTTTTGATGTGCCAACTGTGGAATAAATGCAATGTCATTGTTTGTCGAGCTTGAAGTGGCAGTTCTAAATTTACATTTGCCTGGTAGCATTCTGAATACAGCTGGGACAGCTGACTGTTTTTAAAAGGTGGATATGTGGTCTAGAGATTCTATACAGGAAATGTATCCTTCACACTGAGAAACTTAAGCTGTCACTTTTCTGTTTTAATGAACGTTCACTGTTTCAGGTTCTGACACTCGCATACAGGCACGTAAACACACACACAAGCATTCATCGAGAACTATGTTTTCAACTTTTAAAAACAGTAGTCACTTTTTCATAACTCAAAGGGGCACTGTACTGTCCTTGATTCTGAATGCTAAATGTCTTTACTGTCATACTCAGCAGCAACAACAAAGGCCTTGTCTTGTGTTTTTGTGCTAGAGCAAGACAATGCCGCTTTCAAACCACTTTGAAAACATATCAAACCTAACACAGACTTGGATGTGGAAAAACACCTCATGCACTAAATACCTCATTTTGTCGAATGTTTCGAATGTTTCTTTTTTTTTTTTTTGATTGTAAGAAATCATGTTTCCCTTCAAGTGGGGGGTTTCTTTACCTCCTCTGGTGAGATTTCAGATGATGCAGATTTGAATGCAAATGTGCTTGGACGAGGCTGGTCAGCGGGGGAGGATGTGGATGCAGCATGGGAAGTTTTCAAGTGAGATGTGAAAAACATCAACCACCTTCTCATTTCCAGTGTTGCACATGGTCTTAGCAGGATACTGACTCACAATCAGAATGTGTGAGGTTTTATTCTTTTCTTCTTCTTGAGAGAGGGGATGCTGCATCCTATGGGGTCTAGTTTTCTTTTTTTTCAAGCCATGGTAGGAGATTCAGTGATGGCGATGTTGGTATGTCTGACACTCAGTCTTCATGAGTTTCTTGATTCCCTGACTTTTCATGTAGCAACACCTCAGTTTGTAAGAGGATATCCCTAAAAGTAATGTCAAAAGTCCGCCAGCCTCTTTTGTATTTTGATTAATGCTAACATAGCATGCTACCATATGCATGTTATCTATTATAATAGTTAAATAAATAAAATATATTAGTTCTTAAAGCTGCACTTATAATACTACTAATACTACTAATAAGACTTATATTATCCATTTTTTAATAAACAATAGTGGGTGCAAAGTGCAATGTGAAATGGCTTACTTGGTTCTTACAGAGCATTTTAGCTTCTTTCAGCTCACTGTTTTGGTTTTACTGCCAGACTGCCTTTTTTGTTGTTTCACTCTTACATGGGTGTCATTTCCAGCAGCAACAGACAGATGTTTTCAGCAAAATAAAGCTCTGTTAAAGCCACTGAAAGACACACTCAGCACCAAAAAGCAGACAGAAAAAGTTAGTGACTACCTGGTGAATGAACATACTGGAGCGATAACATCAGCCAGATATTCCCCTCAGGAGTTTGTGGACACCAAAAAAGAGCTGAAAGGAGAGGGAAGATTGAACTTGACACGACTCCAAACAAATGCTAATGTTGCTCTGTGTCTGCTAGTTCACCATAACAACTTAATATGGAGAGTGCCAGCAATGTTGTGTTTATAGCCTGCTCCACTTCCTCAAAAACTGGCCAAAACCACCTGTTAATACTGCTGTGACATGGCAGGCATTTTAACCTTGTATTAGCACTTAGCTCAAAGCACAGCTAATTTCGAGTTGTTTCTGTACTTTTCATCCATCCAACAATTTGGTTTCTAGTATGTAATGAGCATCATGTCTATACACCGCCCATAGTGTCTGCTGATATTGACTTTTTCAGATTAAGGATGGTATTTTTTCACTAAAGTCATCTTATCGTATGATGAGACCGCCAAACGTGGCTGTACCTAAAGTTTGTGTCCAAACGTAAAATACTGGGTGACTTGTGAGTGTGTTGAAGGTTACTGAGGGTACTAAAGTGGTGCTCAAAGTGGAGACAGATTACTTCATGAATACCGTCACTGCAGTCAAAAATACTGATGCTCATGTCCTCACCTTCCCCCCCATGTGCGAAGTGTCTACCTTTTTTAATACCTTTTCCCATCTGGCTCGCTCTAAATGTTGCAAATGATCCCTTCTTGTTAAAATTTGTTTCCTTCACTTTCTCTCTCCCTCCTTCTTCAATCTCCACTCTTCCCTGCTGCTCTGGTCTATCACTCCATATTTTCTCATGCTATCCTCTCTGCTATCTTTCTCTGTCTGCTCCCCACCTTCCCATTGCCTTTCACCTACTCTCCCTCTTTCTCTCTCTTTCTCTGGCTGGCTGGTGGATTCATTTTATTGTCTGCTCTCTGCAGGTATACCCTCGGAAGAGCACTCCTGCTGTGGACAGGCTATGTGTGGGCGTACCTGCCGCAGAGGTGAGCCAAATGCTGCTGAATCACACTAGCACCTTTTCAAGCCTATATAGTCTGTGTCGTCCATGTTAGAGGACTTTGTTGCATTTACACATTTGATTGCTTTTCAAAATTCACCATCAACACCCATATGGGAGAAAATATTTCATTCTCTGTTGCCTGTGAAAATGACATTTGGATATGAATTAATTATTATTTGATTAATTATACACATTCAACTCAAATTTGAATATTAATGACAATATTTACAAAATGTTGACACACAGGAGCAAGGAGCAGGGATTCTCTGTCTGGGCTTTGATTTGCCATTTTTTTTTATTTCTTGAAGATTTGAATTGCTGTTTGGCTCCGTCTTTCTTTTTACCGAGTCGAATCAAAATATCTTCCAAACGCTGCTTAGAGAAGGCGTTAGGAGGAACACTAATCTCCTTATCGGGCTTGTTTCCTGCCATTATGCCTCTGCCAAAGCATGTGTGTGCTGAAAACTCACAAGCAGGCAAGTAGAGGAGCATTGCTAGAGCAACGGGGTCTGAGAAAGGAAGGCACGAGGACCCAGTGATGTTTGGTTCAATAGATTAGCAGTGGGGAACTAAATTAACAAAATATAACAAAGTGATTTTTTTCCACAGGAACTTTTGTGTAAAAAAAATGAATTTCAGTGTAAACCATTCTTACCTATTATAACATGTTATACGTTACACACACACACACACACACACACACACACACAGTGCCGTTGTAAGCTTGATTTAAACATAATCTCAAATGCTGACAGGCATTCGTGTTCAGTGGGCTATCCGGTGGTATTCATTCCTGCCACTGTTTACTCAAATCCCAATGTAAATGCCAATGGAATATTGTCATTCACGGGGCTCTGCTGATCACACACTGCATTTCCATGCATTATTTACATCAAGCTTAGCCCTCTTCTATGCATTCACAAGCGCAGGTCACAAACAAGCAGGGATCAATGAATGACAGAAATCAAATATTTATGCCGGAGCCAGAGCACCTAAGGCGGGTCACATGACTGCAGGGGCTTCCTGCCGCATGCCCTCCAGAGGGAAGTAAAATCAGCAGCATCAGGGAGAAAAGACAGAGAGAGGATAGTGTTTGTTGTAGACATTTACAGAAGCAGGAAGAAATGCTTTTGGGAACAGTTGTGTTGATTTTGTGTTTGTTTTCTTGTTTGTGTACAGAAAAATATCATTTTTTTTTTATTTTGCTAAACACTGAAGCAGTCATGCATACTCTATAAACTGTAGTTTACATTGTATGTACTGAGCAAATATTTACACGGTCTATAGGTAAACTTCATGAAAGGGGTTAATCGGTAGTATTTGTTTAAAAGAAAACTAAATGCCATCCAGCACCATCGTCTCCTGTCTGTTTTCCAATGAGGCTTTAATCTACAAAACACTGTTTTCCTAATGGAGGCCTCCCCATTGTCTCCCTGCCAGTGCTTCGGGTTGCTGGGAATCAACGGGGCTGGGAAAACCACCACGTTCAAGATGTTGACAGGAGACATCCCAGTCTCCAGTGGAGAGGCCTTCCTAAATGGATACAGGTGAGGCGCCAACTCCCACTAGTGCACCAAGTAACTCATCATAATTAGCCACCCAAGATGGCTGCTCAGATGGGGATCGAGCTGAGGTTGGGGTTGTTGTTTTTTTATAGCACACACCCTTTCTCAGCTTCTCTTGTTTTGTGTAATACAGCTTTCTATCTCTCTATCTCTCTTACTCACAGTACGTGTTTTTTGTGTGCTAGGTAGTTTTCGATATCTCTTATATGTTCTGCCGTCTCTGTCTTTTCAACTGCGGTTCTCTCATGTCTCCTCACTGCGATATTCTCAGAAAGACTCTGCTCTCGCTTTTTCTTCCTGCCTCTTGCACATATTTCATTCCTTTTCACATCCTCATCCTGTACCTTGCTCTGTTTTTTGTCTCTGCCTTACAGAATCAGTCATAGGAAATCTTTGTACACGCCAAAAAAATACCTTGACAGCAGCAATATAAGACTCAAGAGCTTGAGCGAAAGAAGGCTTGCTCTTCCTTATTTTTAGGAACAGACAACAAGGCGGCACATCCGAGCAAGGTTGAGTGTAAGCTGCTGCTGGATTCAGGGTTGCTATAGGTGTTCATTCATACATCTGGTAATTTACTTTGTGTTCAACAAAGAAAGGGCGCTGAATAGAGCAAGGCCTAACACAGCAGTGTTAATGTTGATTAATGTGGGTAACGGAGATCAAAGAAAAAATCCAGAGACCTTTAGGGGAAGCAAAAACTGAAAAGAGAGAAAAACAGATGTGAGCACGCCCACACTTCTGTTTGCAGCTCATTACGTTTTCTGTGCATTGGCGAAAAAAAGATGATCGGCATAAGAAAAGAAGCTGCCTCTCTCCTGAGAGTTATCTGTGATTGTGTGATCACAATACTCATAAGAAGTAGCTTGAAAAAAGGCTAGCCTGCTGACATCCAGTAGTGGCTCACTGGCCGACTGTTGTTGTGAAAGACCAAAGAACAAACTGACAGGAGCTGTTTGGGATATACGCCTGATTACATTCTTTCCAAGACTTAGAGGAGAAGATAGCTGGCAGTGTCGTGTCTGTACATTAAATATAAAGCCACACCCAGCTGGCAATTAGCTTAGCTTAGCATAAGGACATAAGCCTAGCCAAGGGTAAAAAAAATAATCCACCCACCAGCACCTCTAAAGCTCAATTATTAACATAATACACTGCATAACTTCTCCTTTTTGCACTTTGGTTCTTATATGAATTTAACATATGCATAACCTGTTAATGAATGGTCTTTGTTTCCAGTTGGACCTCGGTCAGTCCTGCAGAACGTCATCTAAAACTTTAACCCAGCCTGGTTCTATGTGAAAAACCAACAGCAGAGAGAATTACCACATACTTGTGGTTTGGGAGTTTCAGATGAACTCCTGGAAGCCATTGTTGTATGCTAAGAGTGTGTGTGTCTGTGATCAGAGGCTTCAGGAGCAGCTTACCTGAGTGAGACGGATGAGTGACATTTTCTCATTAGTGTGCACATATGTAAATCACGCCCTCCTTACGCATCCTGTCAAACCCCTCTGAAACTGAAACTGAAAACCAGTGACACTGAAAAAGAAAATTCTAACACATTAGAATACAAAAGAATATCAAAATTAAATGAAATGATTTTTTTATTTTTAAGTGGACCTTATTTTTGTGCCAGTACAACTTTTTCCAATACATGTGTTTCAATGCCAATGTTTACTTTTTAGGTTCAACTTTGGTTTCTAATGCCAGAATTTAAGGTCACTGTTTTAGCTCAATAGGTTAGCTGTTTCCCCAACCTGTTCTCATTCCCAACTCGTCGAAGACTGACGCTTTGTACATCATACAGCCGCATATGGTACCCATCAGCAGCTGTATGGGACGCACCAGGCTTTCTATTGACT